ACGAGCGGAAGTCCGGCGTTAAGTATAAATCCGGTGACGTGTGGGAGTCCGACGTTGGGTAGAAGTCCGGCAAAAAGTTTGACGATAGGCGAAAGTCCAATGTCGGGTAGAAATTTGGTGACGGGCGGAAGTCTGGCGTCGGATAGTCCGACGAAAGTACAGCGACCAGCGAAATTCCAGCGACGGGAGAAAGTCTGGCATCTGGTGGAAATCCGGCAATGGGCGGAAGACCGGCGCCACGTAGAAATTTAGCAACGGGCAGAAGTCTGGCATCGATTGGTGGCCAGGAGGTGTTTGAGGAGGAGTCTGGTGGCAAGAGAACTCTTATTTCTCTTCATTCTCTTCTTCCTTGGGCCCCTTCTTCATCCCCCCTCATGAGAATTGAATGGTCTATTTATAGTTTTTTTAGAGCGGCATGACCAGTATATAAGGAGAAGATCATGGGCAATTTGGGTGTGGTTTGAAGTCAAACTTTTGTACCCCCGTAGATAAAAAATGCTAGCTTCGCCACTGGTCAGCAACAATTGCATTGAATTTCTGGTGTATTTAGAACTCTTCCAAACCAGAAGAATTTCAAATACACCTAAAATGATATATATGTTGTATTTCAAATATATCAAAATTTTACGCTGGCATTTATTTTATTTTAAATCAAACCTTCATATTTTCAAAACCCTAACATATGAAATAATTTATACTCCACTCACAAACAGCTCCTAAATCAAAATTGACAGGATTTACTAAATCCTACCTGTTGCCAGACAGCTTCTAACAGCCATCAAATAATGGTCTTCGAATTCATCAAAATTCCATCTCATTATTACCAAAACATCCAAACTCTTTCAAACTACTGAACTCTTTAGCATCTCAGAGCTTCAAATACAAAAATTAATAAATAAAAAAAAAAGCTATTTCAAAAGAAACCTAAATCTGATATAAAAAAAAAAATTAGATGATATTGAGAGAAAAAATCTTAGCTTATTACTTATTAAGACAACACTAAATACTCATTTGGGCCAATTTTTTTACTGCTTTAAAGTAATTTTTTAGTACAAAAATTTTAAATTCAAAATATTTTTATATTAAGAAACTACTTCATAAATAGACAGTAAAAAAATTATCTTAAATGAAATTTAAAGATAATTAGAATAACACCAAAGAAATTACAAAATTTTTTACTAATAATTTTCTGTCTCATTTTATAGTGCTGGAAATGAGCAGTCAAACAAGAAAGCACAGTATTGCATTGTAGAAATTCGAGCCCAATGAGTGCATGGTTGCAAAAACATTAAAATATCTTTTCTGTTAAAACACAAAATGATTTTACATTTTTGCCCATTTTTAAATTATCTTGTAATTAAGATTCTATTACTTAGGTTTCGTTGGGAACATCTTACTTACTACTTTTTAAAGAAAAAAATTAGTAGAAAATTTTATTTTTTTACGAGTAAACTGCTTTAAAAAATAATATGAAAATCGTCTCAAATGAAATTTTAATAACACTTATGATATGCTTCTTCTAAAAAATTATCATTATAAATTTTTTTTATATGGCCTTATGCTTACTCCCTCTTGTAAATTAACTCTTATTTGATTTTTGGCATAAATTCTAGGTTTTTTCATGAGGTTTGGCCAAGGTTTTGACAGGACATCGAACTGGATGAAGGAGAGGTTCATGGTTTGATCAGTTCGACCGGTCGAACCGAGGTCGAACCGGATGACGTAATAAATAATAATATTATTAAAAAAATGATAAATTTTCCTCTAATACTTTCATTCTACATTCTATTTTCATATCAAAATAATCAATAATTAATGGCTCTTGTTAATTGTTTGTGAGTGTGTGCAACATGAGTGCAGTTGTGCTACAATTTGAAGCTCAGAACCTTATATTAGTTCTTAAGCATTAGTTGAGAAAACGTATATTGAAAGAAATAACATAACCTGAAGAACCCAAATGCTCATTAGTGATTCAATGCAAAAGAAACTAACTTTTAATACCAAAAGCTGAAAGACAAAAGCCCAAAGAAGCGAAATAGAAAATGCCCTCAACCCTAAACGGAATTGTGTTTAAGAAAACTAGAAAATAAACATAATAAAAGAACTAAGAAATTATGGCCAGACCTTACTGTCGACCGCCGCGTGTGTCGACCATCGAGTGTCGATCCTTTCATTTGCCTTACTTTAGGTTGGAGAAGGGAGCACCGAAGAGAGCTGGGACTTTAGAGAACGAACGCCAGTCGGTGGAGGAGCCGAAGAGAGAGCTAGGAGCAGTAAAAATTTTGAAATGCCTACGAGGGAGAGCGAAAGGTCAAAAAAGCGAAAGCAGCGACACTTAACTTAGTATTATGCTTCTCTTTTAATGGCCAACATTCGACACCATAAATCATTGCAGGTCTCACCACCATCTTATAGAATTTTCCCTTAAATTTGAAAGGGGGAGTGTTGACCTCGATTTTGTCCAGACCTGGGCCCAATGGCTTGAGTTGACCAGGCCAACTGTTGACTTGGTCAACCCAAGTCTTAATGGGTCGAAATTGACCCATTAAGCCCATTAGAGGCCCAAATCAATTTCAATCAAATCTAAACCTATTCATGGCTTGATCCCACTTGCCCCTTGACCTCTTTGACTGGGTTGACCAGGTCAGCCATTGACTTGGTCAACCCAAGTCCTAAATAGGTCAAATTTAGCCTATTTAATTGGAATTAAAGGCTAATTAATGGGATTAATGCCTCCAAGCGTTTTGAACTTGAAACCACGGCCCCCTAGCTCTAATTTCCCTCCAAATTAACTGGTGATTCGATCTTGGCCGCAGATCTTGAGCCCTTGCCCCTTTAAATAGCAAAAATTAGGTCAAATTTAGATCTTTTGGCTCTCCCTCTCTCTAGAGACCACCTCAGGCCTTGAAATTTTGAGAGAGCACTCCCACTACCTCCCTTCATCTTCCCCGACCAGATTCCGGTGTCCTAGGCCCGCCGGCGGCGAGAACTCCGGCGAAACCGAAGCCACGAAACTTTCGGGGCTTCTACCGCTCGATCCAAGGAGAACCAGGTCTCGAGGTCAACAGAAGAAATATTCCTGCCGTTTCAACGAATCCAACGAGCCCAAGAACGCGAAAATCGGACGGTTAGATCTCTCAAAATCTCTTAGAATAGGTCACAACACTTAGGGTTAAATAGCTTTTCATTAAGTGCTTTTTAGATCAAACCAAACATCCCCCATTGATGCTCTTCATGTTTACTACCTGTGTTTAAAATTTCATGACGTTTCGTCGAGCGGTTTGAGAGATCTAAGCGAAAATAGGTTAGAGGTCTCGGTTTGGCCTGCTCCCAGCCAGGCGCTCTCTGGACCGTCGATTCGGTTGATCGACGGCACAGATCTGGTCGGACCGTTAACTGTCCGACCGCGGAGGTATACACGCCGGACCGATCCGCCGTCCGCCTTGATCTGAGCCGTTGATTCGTTCCCATGCAGATCGGACGGCGGGGAGCCTTGCCGACGTGGATAAGTGTCCACGGCTATGATTGCGGCATGATTGCCGCAATCATTG